TGGCATCATACCTCACAGCAACCTCAAACTCTTGGGCACAAGCAATTCTCTTGCCTCAGCCTCCCAAGTAGCTGAGACTACAGGTGGCCACCACAATGCCTGGCTATTTTTGTTGTTGTTGTAGTTGTCATTGTTGTTTGGCAGGCCCAGGCTGGAGTCTAACCTGCCAGGTCCTGTGTATGTGGCTGGTGCCCTAGCCACTTGAGCTACAGGCACTGAGCTGGTCTCAGGATTTCTTCTGATAGCTTTAAGGGATGGATCAATGAGGAAAATCTCAAACAATTTGTACATTGAATCTGCACAACTGAGTAAGAATTCAGGACTCTTGGGAGCCCTACAGTAGCGCCAGCTACTCCTGAGCTATAGACTGAAGGCTTCGAGCGAACTTTGGCTAGTTAACACTAGGACGGACAGGCTTGGCATAGGTTGCACCCTAAGGAACTGGGCCTTTGTGGTCACCATGCCATACATGAATCCTATAGACAAAACCTTGCTGCTTAGCTTTACATACCTGTCTGAGCACTTTATCCTGCTGAGAGGGGCAGAGAGCCCCACTGAGCACTAAGAGCTAGGAGAATTACCAGCAGCAGACCCTCAGAGCAGTGGTTCTCAATTTTCCTAATGCTGCAGCCCTTTAATACAGTTCCTGTGGTCGTGACCCACAGGTTGAGAACCGCTGCCCTCAGCGGAAAGCACATTATATCAGACGGCTTCTTACTCCACAGCTTCTGGCTGTACTTGTATGCGCCCATCTTGGCTTACCTGATGGCTGCCATCAGATGAAAGGGAAAGAGGCTTTCTATCCATTAAGTAAAAATTTTAAAAAGCAAAATAACAAAGTAAGCTGTGCACAGTGGTGCATGCCTATAGTCCCAAGTACTTGGGAGGCTGTGTCAGGAGGACTGATAGAACCCAGGAGTTAAAGTTCAGCCTGGGTAACATAGCAAGAACTTGTCTCTAAAAAAAATAAATAAAGGCTGGGAGCAGTGGCTTATGTCTGTAATCCTACCACTCTGGGAGGCCAAGGCTGGTGGATTGACTGAGTTCACATGCTTGAGACCAGCCTGAGCCATAGCGAGACGCCCCCCCTCTACATCTCTGAAAACAGCCAGGTGTTGTGGTCGGCATCTTTAGTCCCAGCTACTTAGGAGGCTCGGGCAAGAGACCTGCTTAAGTCCAGGAGTTTGAGGTTGCTGTGAGCTATGACGCCCTGGTACTTTACCAAGAGTGATAAAGTGAGACTCTGTCTAAAAAATAATAATATTAATAATAAAATAAAATTAAAATATATAAAATTACAAAGTTGCACCTGCTCCCTTCTCTCTATAATATTATTGTTTCTAAGACATCAAGGGAGCTTTAGCAAAGAAGCAAGGAGAGGAGGAC